AGCCAGAAGTAGCTCCTTCAGGTTATGCTTCTGATGCTTGAAATAAGATCTGGCTGCTAAAATATTTCATTTCCCTTCTGATTCACATGAGAGAAGGTTAAGAACCTTCACCTCCACCTCAAGCAATGACTGAAGTCAAGTTACAGAAATTCTGGGAAGGCAACTGATGCTCTTGTCTTATTCCATTACTGTTTTCCCAGAAGCCATGGGAGTATAGTCAAGGCATAAGAAATCGTCTCTCATAACTAAAAGTTAGTTTTGTATGTAGGATGTAGGCTCTGGGAGCTGAACAGAAATGGGTGAAGGATGTGATTTCATCCCCTGTAGGCTTTTCAATTCTACTCCTTTTTGTTTGACTCCCAATCCTGTTATTGCCGCGGTCACCCCAGTCCTCATCTCTGCTGGATTCTCCACACAGTGAGCTCCAGGCGAGCCCAGGAACACTCTGGCATCAGGAGAAAAGGCCATCCCGAGGCTCATATCACCTCTCTTGGGTCCATATCCTGCTCACCTGCAGCTGTGGCTCTGCTGGGAATCCCACCTGTCCTTGAGGAGCTGCTGTGTGAGCAAAGAGCTGGGCCGTGGTTATTCTGGCCCTGCTGATGGCAGACAGCAGAGATGAGACCAAACATTTCTGCAGCTCCTGCAGTCTGTGACAATCCTTTGAGTTGTATTTAATTAAAGAGTGCACACAAAGGCTTTGTTTGCAGCAGCAGGCTGTGTGATAATCCTCTAACAACTCTTGGGATCTGGGCGGGAAGGAAAACTCTCATTAATAAAGACTTTGGTTGTAACTCCATGTGAGAGCTGCTGCAGGATTGAGAGCTGCAGGAGATCACATCCAGAAGAACATTCCCTTCATCTTTCTGCTCAGAGTGTGAGCAGGAGAAGGAGCCCCTCCACAACAACCCCACACAACTGGTGACAAACCCACCACAACTTTTACGTGTGGTCTTGGCCATGCCAGGAGGGATTAGTGAAGGGGGGGTGTTATCAAGTCTCAACTTCAACTATAACAGATATTCCCAAGAAACTGGATTATTGTTCACTATCTGATGTTGATGTAATCTAACCAGAGCTTGCCATGTCTTTCCTTTATATTTACTTTTTGGATGGGAAATGGGAATCCACGTGCTCCTCAGCCCCCTGTCTGGGTGGCCAGTTGCCCACAGAAAGATTTCGAAGCCCAAAATCTCTCCCTTTTCCATAGCTTAAAAAACCCCAAAACAAACAAAAGCAAAAACAAAAAAACAAAAACCCAAACCCAAACCCAAAAACAAACAAACAAAAAAAACACACACACAAAAAAAAAAAAAAAAACCAGAGCTGGGGAAGTAGTAAAGTGAGTTTGTACCAAGCTGTCTATAAAATCTACTCCAACTTTTCTAGGACAAATACACCAGAGAAAGAGACTTATTTAGTCCCTTATCCCAGGGAATATCCCCCTTGACAGGCAAGAGTTGCAGCTCTTGAGGGGTCTTTTCAGCCACAAACATTTTGCCAACTGGGAGGTGAATTGAGGCAGCTGAACTTGTTGCCTTGCTCACCATCATGCCAGATGTACTTGTGACCCACCAACACAAAAAGACACACTTTCTGTTTCCTAATGATGCCCAAAACTGTGATATTTTCACATTATTTTTTATTCCACTTGCCTTTGTTGGCCTGTATCAATGACAGCTGTGATATGTGAGGGTTATTGCTGTTATCACTAAGGAGGGAAAAGAGGGTTGCTGTGATTGGGTTATTTATTTACTTGTTTACTTAATGTGGCAAATGAGCCATAAACTCGAAGTCCTCCTCTGTGAATCTGTTTGTTGACCTTGGTGATTCAGTTAAAGGTCTGTAGACATTAAATTCACACATCACTGACCTCCTCCAGCTGAGTAGTAGGTGTTTCAGTTTGAACTAGTCCAACTGCAGTCAGGGAAGTGGGATGAAAGCCTTCAGAGCTGATGCTTGCTAGCTCTCTGTGGACTAGGAATGGTAAAAAATCAGTTCAGACTGAACAAAGAGCTTTGACTCAGCTAAAATTAAGGGTGACGTTTCCCACTGAGAGAGAAGTCGAGATACATCCCACTCTTCCTTTGCTTATAGAATCATAAGATCGTTAAGGTTGGAAAAGAGCTCTGAGATCATCAAGTCCAGCCACTAACCCAGCACTGCCAAGTCCCCACTAACCCATGTCCCCAAGTGCCACATTTACACAGGGACAGTGACTCAACCATTGCCCTGAGCAGCCCTGTTCCAGTGTTCACCCTTTTGGTGAAGAAGTTTTCCCCAATATCCAACCTAAACCTCCCCTGGAACAACTTGAGGTCGTTTCGTCCCATCCTGTCCCTTGTTCCCTGGGAGCAGAGCCCGACCCTTCCCTGGATCCATCAGGGAGTTGCAGAGCCAGAAGGTCCCCCCTGAGCCTCCTTTTCTCCAGGCTGAGCCCCCCAATCTCCCTCAGCTGCTCCTGGTGCTCCAGCCCCTTCCCAGCTCCATTCCCTTCCCTGGACACGCTCCAGCCCCTCAAAGCCTTTCTTGTCATGAGGGGCCCAAAACTGGACACGGAATTCAAGGTGTGGCCTCACCAGTGCCCAGCACGGGGGGACAGTCCCTGCCCTGGTCCTGTGGCCACATTATTCTTGGTCCAGGCCAGGTGCCCTTGGCCTTGTTGCCCACCTGGGCACCCCTGGCTCATGTTCAGCCGCTGTCACCAGCACCCCCAGGGCCTTTTCCAGCCCCTCTCCCCAGCCTGTGGCTGTTGTGGGGTTGTTGTGACCACCCACCTCACCCAAAAGATCACAGAAAATCAGCACCAGCACTACAAAAGCCAAGATCACCTGTATTTTGGTGGTTTAGCTACTGGACACTCTTTTTTTCACTGGTTTGCCTAACACAGATATATTTTTCTCTTGGACTATATGTAAAAAATATGCGATTTTAAAAATTATACCTGTAATCAAGTTTACCTGAGTCTATCACAAGCTCACTTTTCAGCCTTATCTCTGTTTTGAAAGGTAATAAAAACAGTTACTCAAAAGAAAATACGGGGGCACTGAGGTAAATATGCAACCTGGTAATTTAGGCCTGAATTTTTAGTGAAGGGAAGAAGTGGCAGTGAAGTACTTGCTAATGGGCTTGGTGCAAAAATTGCTGCATAAAAAAAATAGTAGTAAAGTATATTGTAGAAACACACAGTGCTTTGCCAGCCCTGATCAAGGTTAGAGCAGTATGAATTAATTTTAAAGGGAAAACTGGAGGTATTTATAGACGTGAGATGAATTTGGCAATAGTTTAAATCCAGAGAGTTAAAACTGTCCTTTGAAAAATGCAGATGTTTTGAAAACATTTCAGTCTTTATTTTTACAGCAAGTGTTCTGCAAATCTCTCACGCTTCCCCTCGTGCTTTTTTGAGGTTAAAATAAAAAGGCAACAAGCACTATAAATCAAAACAAAATGAATTTATGGTATTTTAGAGGAGCCAAGATCAAATTTCCAAAGATCTGTTTCCCCTTGGGAAAAAGAAACATTTGAGAATGAAGACAAGTCCTAATGATTCCCCCTCTTCTCGTGTTTGTTTTTTTATTTATTTTCGATTTGACTAGAAAACCACATAATTAATTGTTTATACACCGCTAATCAAGGCCCATTCCCAACCTAAAGGAAATTACAATCTGAACTAGGCATGGTATGAAACAGAGAAGAGAGCTAAAAGGCTAATAGGAAGCGGTGAGAATAAAGTTAATGTGCTAAATTATTTTATAATGTTAATCCAAAGGGAAATTTACAACAAACAGTTGTTCCTTCAAAGGATTTCTGGACCTTCCCCTTTACAAACTTGTCTGGCAAATACATGGGTAGAGCAACGATTACACGTTTTGAAACGAGACGGGAAAAGGGTTTTTTTTTAAATTTAATTTATTTTCTCTACCTATTTCGGATGAAAATTTATGCTTTTTCCAAAATCCTTATGAGTGAACACTGAATCAATGACTTTTTACAGGTTCATGCCATGTCCTCATAATCTGTCCCTGAAGCTCACACGAGTTGTGCTTTCTTCCACATCACATTTGACAGTGAGGATATAAACTCAGTCCAAGACTTGTGCTCTCCTCACATCATTCCCCTCTTTACATCTCTTTGCAGCTGGATTTCTGAATAGATTTCTCCCTCTAAATGCCCTTTCTCCTTCTGAATGCCCTTTCCAATCCCTTTAAAAGAGACGAGGTTTGGTGCAGCCTCAGTTTTTGTGTGTAATTACCATAGCAACGGTCAAGGTGTCCCCCCAGGTTGAGAGCATGTTGGTGACAAGGGGACACGGTGATATGCGTGAGCTCCTGGTTCCTTTTTTGGAGTTAAAAATCAATATTTTCACATTTTATGATTGAGGCAGTTCATGTAAGGAGTCCACGATTAATTACCTGAACATCCACAGCCACTGTTGAATTACAAACACAATATAATTAAGTCTGACTGAGGAGAAACCACTTGAGAGAAAAAAGTCTTGTCACTGGGAATTTCCTGCTTTTTAGCTCCTTGATCTCCTAATCTGCATCAGAGGTTTGGTTCTTATTTGATTTGGTTTTTGTTTTGCTTTGAATTAGCAAGAACCAGGAGACAGCCCCTGTGAGGATGGAGGGAATAAACCATGAAGCCCAGATCCCACTGCTCTTGGCATGAATATTAAAGCTGCTGTCTCCCTGCCCTACATAGCTGGTGGTTTTGGTTATCCAGGCAGGGTTCCTGGAGCACAAAGTAGCAGGATTGCTCCTGATCATCAGGAAAAAATAAGTCATGGGGTTTTTTTTCCTAAGGGAAATGCAGATTTCTCAGCAGGCTCCGGGGTGCACCCTCTTCTCTCAGGCAGACAGAGAATAAGGCTGGTTGTGTGTCACCACTGTGCAGTGGCCCTGGAGAGCTCCAGGTCACTCCATGAGGCCATGAATCCCCAGGGATGCGTCTCTGAGGGTGGGTTTTGCTCACTCTGTCCTTCTCTACCCTCTCTGCAGGCGTCCAGCACACGGCCAGAGTGCAGCATCATGCAGGAGATCGAGGAGGAGCGGAGCCAGTGCTTGGCAGAGCTTATTGGGGATAACCAGACTGCAGGTATGGGAATATGGGAATGCTCTCTTCTCTCCCTGGCCAGCAAGCCAACATCCCCCAGCCTCACATCTGCCTTCCCCAGGCCATTTCTCACCCCTGCTGGAGCAGGGCAGTCACTCCAGGTGATCCTGAGCTCTTTAGGAGGGAGAGAAATAGGCCCTTCCAAAGCACAGTTCAATCAGCCAAGAGTTGGAATAGCTCTCCAGGGTTCCCTCGCTGCCTTCCAGCTGGGTAAGCCTAACTTAGGTGTGTTTAATCACAGTCATCCATCTCTCTGAAGTGGAAGTTCCTTAACCAGTTTTTCCCTGGGATGTGAAAGCCTGAAGCTCCCAGGTTCAAGGGAAGCCGTGGCAAACTTCTCCTTCCATTAAACTGCCCTCCCATCCCCATGCCAAGGTTGCTGCTGTCCTGGTGGTGAAGCAGAGTAAGGGAGGGGGTTTTCCAAGGCTGCAAGGTATCTCTGGAGTTGGGGCAGGCAGCTGAGGTCCTCTCCTTGTTCATGGAGCACACACCACACCGAGCAGTCCTCCTGGAAGGGTCTCTGATCTCGTTAATCCTTTCGGTGATCAGGAAAGGAGGAAGGAACTTAGCCCCAAGACATCCAGTTGGATCTCTCCCCCTCCAAGTGCCTCTCTCAAGTCACCAGTCTTGTTTTTGTAAGTAAAAGAGGTGTAGGGACCAAGGTTGGGCTGTCAAGATCCTAAAAGAAGGGATCACATTGCCGAGGGAAAGGGTGGGAAGATGCATATCCTGCTTGATATTTACATCCCTCTTCCTGAAAGAGGAAAAAGGGGAAGAAGATGTGTCCTCATCCTCTCTCCCTTGGCATTGTGTGCAGTCAGGCCACAGACTGAAGGACTGTTCCATGCTGCTTAATGATGGAATAACATCCTTGGGCCAGCTGATCCCAGGAGGAGCTTTACTGGATGCAAGGAAGGCTTTTGGCCCCTGCTTTTATCTGCTAAGAGACGGTTTGCTTTGATATGGAAGCTGTTTCAAGTGTCCCTGTACAGTTAAGTGGAGCTGTTTGAAGAAATGTTCTCCTGGAATCCAGTAAAGGGAAAAGTCAGGGTAGTTCAAAACATTCATCTGAAAGCCAACTAAATACTTCATTTCGTTTTTGTGGATATTTAAAGAAATTCGATTACATACAGTTCGTTAAAAGCAGAAAAATAAATACTTGAAGTGATAATATTTTTTTCTGCTTTGTCAAAATGATTTTTCTCATTGGAAACTTTAATCCAAAACAGCTTTTTTTTTTTTTTTTTCCTCTCTCTAACCACCGAATTAAACTGCTGAAAACATTTTTCCCAGTTCTGAAGTAAAGACAGGCAAAAGCCCTTAATGCTCAAGCATTAGCAAGTATAGGGAAATCCTTTGGAAGGAGGGGGAGGTTCACAATGGAACACTGAAATATTGGACTAGGAGAAGTTTACATTTCCACCAGTCACTACTCATAAATAGTGATTCAGAGATTGCAGTTGCGAGCACTGTAAACAGGTTTTTGTCCATGGATTGGGTTAATGTCAGATGCTTGTGTACATCAGCATGCCCTGAAATGGTCAGTGGTGACACTGGTGTGGAACAGGGATGTGCAGGGACACAGGGTGTGCCCAGCCAAATGTTACAGGGCAAATTCCGTGGAAGGCAGTTGGAATCCATTTGCCTCAAAACATCATCAGGTATTTAAAGGCTCAGTACCTGACTTTAATCCAGACACTCATGGCTGCCCTGGAGTGAACAGAAAGAAACCAGAATCTCTCAAGTGTTGGCCCAAAAAATGAGTGACTCTGAGTGGGTCAGTTTATGGAGAAGTCTGTTTTGAAAGTGGTGTGGACAGATGATTTCAAAGTGCCTGCATGGGATGTGTTTTCCCTGTGGAGCGTTTAAGGCACAAGTAGGTAAAAAAAAAGATGTTTTTCTGGAGTGGGGCTCCATAACTCAATAAATGGAGCTGAGCAAAATAAAACTTTGACGGTTGTGGGCGAGGGGGAAGTTTGTTGGGGAGAAATCTCTTGAAGGTGCTGATAGGAGATAGTATGAAGGTGATGACTGTCTCATCTGAGTGTTGCTGGAAAGAAAAAACCCAGTAAAACTCGCAGGAAAAATGTGATTTTAACACGGTTCCATCCCCCAGAACAGGATGATGGAAAGCAATTGAGATTCCCTGTGATCTGCAGTGTAATACCTTGATTTATGGCCAGGAGGTGTGTTGCCTTCCGCACATTCCACATCCTTTGAGCAGAAGGAAAATCACTTGAGGTTTAAGAATTTAACAACCAATTTGTTATCCTCGCTAATTAAATGAGTGGAAATAAGCAAACACTGTTTCGGTACATTGTGGACATAAAGCTTTGTTTAGAAGCCATTATTGATTGTGTTGGTGAGAGGGGCTTAATCACAGCTGTAATTTGATGTGTCAGATAGATTAGTCACTCATTAAGAACACTTGATGGTGGTGCTGAGGGTGATCACTGGATAAGCAGGATTTCAACTGATAAACAATAACATCTGTCTTAGAGGTTTTTTGCCTTCCAACACCCATTCCTGGTATTCATTCCTGATGGGAGAGGGGAGGGTATAAACATGAAATTAAACCTCTGTGCTCTCAGTGCTGGTTGTAGGTGCCAGTTGCTGCTCCTGGTGCCACCAGTCCTGGACCACAGGACTCCTGTTGATTGTTCTGCCCCTCTTATGAGACCTCACCTAGACCCCACCTGTCTTCAGCTCTGAGCTTCCCAGCACAGGAAGGACAGGGACCCATTGGAGAAAGTCTAGAGGAGGTCACCAAGATGATCAGAGGGATGGAGCAGCTCTGCTGGGAGGAAAAGGCTGGGAGAGTTGGGGTTGTTCACCCAAGTCACCTTTGGGGTGACTTAATTGTGGCCTTCCAGGACCTGAAAGAAACCTACAGGAAAAATGGAAGGAGACTATTTACAAGGGCCTGGAGTGACAGGGGGGGGAATGGCTTCAAAATGAAAGAGTGGAGGTTTAGATTGGATATTAGGAAGGAATCCTTCCCTGTGAGAGCGGGGAGGCCCTGGCACAGGTTGCCCAGAGAAGCTGGGGCTGCCCCATCCCTGGAAGTGTCCAAGGCCAGGTTGGATGGGGCTTGGAGCAACCTGGGCTAGTGTGAGGTGTCCCTGCCCATGGCAGGGGGTGGGAGTGGATGATCTGTGTGAATCCCTCTATTCCCTGCCAGGAGTGTGATTCAGTGTCTGTGAAGTTTCCCACATTTGAGGAGACTTGACAGTTGGGCTTGATGATCTTAAAGGTCCCTTCCAACCTTGATGATTCTATGATTTTATGATTCCATGACCAGAGGTCACAAAAACATGCCCACCTCTGATGAGGAGAAGTTTGTTTTTCAGCAGGGGAAAGGCCACAGAGGATGCAGTTCGGGAGAAATCCACAGGGAAAAGCAATTGAAGCCGGCGGCGTGTACACGGGAGAATCAAACGGCTGGGAGATCAAAGTCTGGACTTTAAAGGAAGTTTGTAACCATCAGAGGATACCAAACAGCCTTTCTGGAGGTCTGCAGGAAGGAGTGTTTTGTTTTATTGACTTGGTGGCAGAGCTTGCCCAGTTTATGGCAGGGTGTGTAGGACGCGGTTCATGTTGCGGCACAGGGCTGGATTTCATGAGCAGGATTGTCCTTGCAGTCCTGTGCCTTGGTGTTTTATAACTCCATGCTGAAGTAACTAGCAAAGATATAAAATGACATGTGTGATTCAATACAGGAGAGGATTCTTTACCATAGAATCAAGACTAAGTAGACTGAGACTGATTTTAGACATGGCATGGGAATGACTTTTGTCGAGAGATTTGGTTTTAGGCATCTCTAGTGTGTTCTGGCATCTGGTTTAGGATGTGATGAATTTTGTTCAGATTGTCTTGCCTGCTGACAAAACCTTTGTTTACTATGAGGGGATTCTTAGTGAGCAGCTCAGCTGTGTTGGAAATAATCACATTTATCAGATGATCCCCATTTTGATGTTCACTGTCTTGGAGGGACCAAATGAGGTGAAATCCCAGCTCCATGATTAGAAAGGGATGAATCTGTCCATTCACATACAGAACTGCACTTCAGGAGGCTAAACCTTCACTTGGGTGTTAGATGATTTTTCCAGCCCTTTACACCCACCCACCCCCCCCAAATGCTCAATTTGAGGCATTATTTAAAAAAATCCTTTGAAAAACTTGTTGCTGGGCAAGTGACAGGATTCACCTGCTCAGTGCAGGGGAGAATGTACAAAATTCCTCATCTCAGTGCAGACTGTGTTTCTGAAGGACCTCAGACTCAACTGAAATCATTGTGCCATTTTTATGAAGGGCTATAAAAGCCTTTTTTGCCGGGTTTTTCCATGTTCTAGAGGGAGTTTTGGTTATTCCTCCCCTCATTACACAGTTAAAGGAGAAAGTGCTGCTGGATTGAGTCACACACAGACGTACCTGGGTGCTGACTGGTGAAATCTGGAGTTTTATGTGTCAAGTATCCAGCTTTCCTCACCAGAAATGTGCCGTTCTTATGGCTGGGATCATTAGATAAAATACCACAAATGTTTATAAACAGTTCAGCTGAAACTGAAGCACACAAATAAAATAATTTAAAAAAAAATAAAGAAGAGGAACCCTCTTTCTTTTTTTTTTGTTAAAAAGCCAAGAAAGTCAATCAGGTCCAGGCTCAGCTCATTATCTGTTTATCCCATTATTGGTAATCAGTTTGCTCTGCAATCAGATACTCTTTAAGAAGCAGGGGAGTCATTTAGGGATGGCAGTTAAATAAGGAGCTGTTACTTGTGTTTGGGTGGGATGAGAAGCTCTGGAGACCAAGCTGGAGGAAGCAGGACATCCTACAATAAATGGCCTTCATGGAATCACAGAATCATGGAATGATTTAAGAGGGACCTTAAAGACCATCTCATTCCAACCCCCTGCCATGGGCAGAAACACCTTCCACTATCCCAGAGCCTCATCCAACCTGGCCTGAAGCTCCAGTACTT